AGATGCTATATCTTTTGATAGCCGGGCACCATCAGCTTTCTTCACCACATTTGCTTATTCACCCACTTTGTCTTCAGCAGTTGTGTTTGTTTTTAAGGTTTTGGTTGTGTCTTTCCTTTTTAGCAAACGAGACTGAGGGCAGAAGGCAGTTAGTGAGGTGAGGTCTGGGTGCCTGGTGAAAGCACTGTGTTAGATACAGCCTGACTTTGAGCGCTGGGAGAAACATTTTACCTCTGTGTAGCACATACTTACAGAATCCTTTGGCATAAATTATGAAGGTGGGAATATTGAAATTGTATTCTAAAGGATAATTTTTTGCTTCATAAGTATAATATTTCAATTATGAAATCACTTGAAAAATATTTAGAAACTAGAGAAAAAAAACCAATTTCCTCAGAACCAAACACCTTTATGTACATACATAGTTTGTTGGTATTTGTTATCTTGTAATTTTTCGGTTCTCTTTTAGGTTTCTCATTTTCTATTTTAAACATTTTATTGTAAATTGGGTGAATGTTTACAGAGCAAATCAGTTTCCTATTCAACAATTTGTGAAGATTTTGTCTCATGTCAATGAATGCAAAACATGGTCTCCCTTTGTTTTTCTCTTTTGACTTCCTTCTTCTTTCCTAACCCTTCCTGCCCACTGAACTTTGAACCTTAGGGATTGCTGACCTTTTATCTGGAATGATTGGTTGTTCTTAGGAGTGCTTACCCCAATCATTTGACTGAAAGTGAGCTAACGGGGGTCACTTCAATTCTAGACTTGCGAGTGACAAAAAGCCATATTCTCTGGGTTTCACCAGTTTCTCAGATTACTAAGACCGGTTTGTTTTGCTTTTTTGATTTTTGATTTTGTTCTACATTTTTCTCCCTCTCTTTCCAGAGCATCCTAGGCATTAGTAACCAAGTCCTGTCTTGTTCTGGCCTCAGGGTCTGGAAAGATTGATTATTCTGTTGGTGTGATGGTTTCCATTTATCTTCAATTTTTCCCCTCTTCTTTGCTCGAGACAGGGATAAGAGTTTTATCTGAGAGTAATATTTTCAAGTCTGGTTACTACCAGAACTGTGTTAAAAGCAAGAACTTCATTGATTTATTATACTTCACATCTGTATCAACTACCAGTGTGCAATGAATTTGGTTTCATCTTGGTACGTGTGTTCATGCATCTTTGTTGGGAAGAGTGATAGCCTGTACTAAGATTAATGACAGAATGCACCAAAGCCAAGATGTGTGGTTGAGGGGTACGTAGGTGAATAGCATTTAGGGAGTAAAGTTACATATATTGGAATTGGTCTTCTCATTAAAATAGCTGTAGATAATAAAATTCAATGTAAAGAAAAACAAAATTGACCCCTTGGTAATATCATGATAAAGAAAATATTGACCTTGTCGAGGATTTTGTGTTGCTTGGATCCAAAATCAATCCTAATGGAAGCAGCAGTCAAGAGATCAAAGGACACATTGCACTTGTAAATCTGCTGCACAAGACCTCTTTAAAGTGTTGAAAGACAATGACATTAGTTTGAGGACAAAGGTGCACCTGACCCATGCTATGGTATTTTCAATTGCCTCTATGTGTGTGAAAGTTGGGCATTGAACAAGGAAGACCAAAGAAGAGCAAATACTTTGATTTAGGGTAATAGTGAAAAATATTGAAGCTACCCCGGACTGCCAAAAGAACAAACAAGCCTTTCTTGGAAGAAGTCCGGCTAGCGTACCGTTTAGAAACAAGAAACAATGAGATCAAGCATAACAACAATCGTGAGTATGGCACAGGCCAGGCCAGGGTTTTGTTTTGTTGTATATAGTGTTGCCGTGACTCAGAACCAGTTTTATGGCAACTCTCAACAACATAGGTGATTCCTTCCCATCATATGATGGAAATAGTCCAATTGAACTTTGAAAATAATCCAATATAATCACTAGTTACATATGCCTACTGAGAACTTGAAATGTGGCTAGTGGTCAGTGTGTTGGACATCAAAATTCTAGCCTAAACTTGTGAACCTGTAGAAGGAAAGCACCATGTATTTTATAATCCATTGTCTGAAGTGATCCATGTTATCAGCAACTATAATAGAGCATGACAAACCCAGTAAAGTTAGTCCGGATATGTCTCTTCACAAGTGGTTTGTGAACTCCTTCAGTGACTAGCCCACTGCTTATATAAGCTTAGAAAAGATTGTAAAGGGAGATGGGGACTGAAGCCCTGAATGCTAAGCTGAAGGCCTTTGGCTGCATTTCTGTAGGTAATGGAGACATAGCAGAGGTCTGAGGAAGGGAACATAGAATATTTAAAATGTTACCGTGATTGTAAGAAGATGGAAAACTATAAGCAGGGAAGCCAGTTAGGCCACATAATTAGGATGTATTTATTAATCTACCTAGAAATTTAGGCTTAGCCCAAGAAATAGATGGAAGAATTCAGTTGTGAGGCAGAGTAACTTTCATTCTCTTTAACTATACATTTAAACATATTCTTTGAGCAGTTGCTGTGCCAGACACTATGCTTGGCATAGGGGATATATTAACAGTAAACAGTGATGGTTTGCATGTTGTTATGTTTGTATATTTCAATGGAGCTACCAGAATGAGTTAGGTCCTGGTATTCTCATTCTGAAATTCAGTCAGTGAAAAACATATGTGTCACAGAGTCTGACCCATAGCCAAGCATGGGGTGGTGCGAGGCAGAACAGTGTTCCAAGTGAGTCACCATGACTCACTTGATGGTAGTTAACAACAAAAACAACCAAGCAACAGGGCAGGGAAGTAGTGGCAAAGCAGATCATGTCAAGCTGTGCGGCATGATTGGCAAAAATTCCAACATGCTGTAGAGACAAATGTGTTCAAGGGCATGTAGAAAGCCAGGTGGCCTGAAAGGGGCTGTTGTGGGGCCTGGAAATTCTGGATTTGTTTTGGCTTGCTGTGAGCTGATACTAGAAAATTAGTCAGGTGCCAAACAATTCAGGGTTTTATCAGCCATGTTAAACATTTGATCTTTATCCAAAGAGTAATGAAAAGCCAATAAAATATTTTAAGCATGATCAAATTTGCATTTTAAAAAGAATCCCCTATCTACAGAGTGGAGAGCATATTGGAGAGGAGCCAGAACAGGTGCTGATGTGCCAATTAGCAAGCTATTGCAGGCGCCCAGGCGAAGATGGTGATCCTTGGTTTAGGGTGAAAGCAATAGAGATATACAAAGGATATATTCCTTAAAACATAGTTTCTTTTTGTTTTGTTGTTAGGTGTCCACAACTGATTCATAGAAATACTGTATACCGTGGGATCAAATGCTTCCCGGTCCTGACTGGACTCGCATCTTTGCAGCACTGGAGTCACTGGGAGCAGCCACGGGGTCAATCGATCTTGTTGAGTCTAAAGAAGTCTTTTGCAGCAGATTTTCCCAGGACAATGCATTTGAGTTCTTGACTTCTGCTTCCATGAGCATTGACTGTAGATTCAATTAAGATGGAAACATTAACAACTTCGGTATTTTTTCAATTTATCATAATGTTTTTGAGCTACTTGTGAAGATTTTTTTTCCCCCTTTATGTTGAGGTATAATCCATACTAAAGTTTGTAGGAGTTTGAGTTAGCTAATTGTGCCAGCCTGGCCGATAATCACATGTGGGTCTGGTTGAAAGGTGGAGGGATAAATGGGTGGTGAAGCCTCGCCTTTCTAGTTCTCGGGTCTCTTGTTTTGTGATGGTTGCAT